TCAGTCAATGGAGGCTGGACGCTGCTGGCCTCCCCTTCAGGAACTGGTGCTACGACCGATGGGTGTGGGGGTTGGGGTGGTGGATTTATATGTGGGTGGGGAGGTTGCAAACCTTCCAAGTTGGGTGGATGGAGTTGTGGAGTGGTATGGCTCGGGGCTCTTTCTTGGTTGGGGGGAATATCTGGAGGTGGTGGAGGAGGCATCGGAAGGTTTCTCTAGAGTAAAGCATTTATCAAGGCCTGGTTTTGCTCGGCCATGCGGTTAATGCTGTTGGTAAGCTCGATAAAATACTATGGTGGGTTGTTTGGATTGGAGGGGTCGGCCTGATGGTCGGCAGCATTATTGTGAGAAGCCATGGATCTAGTCGTGACCATGCACTTTGACGGGTAGGAGAAAAAGGTTGTTGGAACGGGGTCTCCGGCGACAGTGAACACAACTGGCGCGAGGAGCAAAGCGTTCCCACAGACGGCGCCAACTGATGATACAGTTTATCCCAGTGAATAGAGCAAACTAGTCCAAGCTCCTCAAGCCCAAACCCAAATGATCGAGCCCACCGGATAACCTGCAAAAAAGTTCAACGGGGAACGGGGTAGTCCCCCAGTGAACCCTCCGACGAGCAAATTAGGAAGAAAAGTAGAGTATAGAGGGAGAGATTAGAGATAGAAAGCTTGACCTTCTTCCTGTCTTCAACGTTTGCTTATATCCTTTGGTAATCATTTCGCTGTCTCTTCCGACCTGTCCTCCTCGCCGAAAGCCTATGCTGTAGCTTACCTTGTTCAGGGTAAGGGGGTCCTGTTCCGACAGGGAGGTGTTGTCGTAATAAATGCTGTGATGGGCTGCATTAATGGTGATGTGCAGTGGCAATAACTTTTCAGATCTTTGTCTGCTGATGTGGCTCGCCCTTCTCTTGCCGTGTGTCTGAGTGTCAGTGGCTCTTTATGCCATGTTGGACTCCAGCTGTCCTGGACTTCACCAGCTTGGTTATGCATTGGGCTCCAAGCGATGGGCTTGGGTTGTCCATAGGTGATTCGCGGCCTTTATGGGTTTATACACGTCAATATTCTACCCCATTTACATAAGATGACAACATGAATTCCTGGCTAGCTATGAAGCAAGGTACTTTGATAAATATGTTATACTTAATATGCCAGGCCTTATTTGGGAAGCGACCGGTTTAGTTAAAAAATCAAAAAGTTATTAAAAAAATCAAAAAGCCAACAACTCATACCAAAAAGTCATAGATTTCATTTTCTCTCTACTTGTTGCACATCTTTTCGTAAAAAACTAAAAAATCATCCCAAACATACTAGTTTTTTTTGTATCACATTTTAGTCAAAAAATCAAAAAGTCATTAAAAAAACATGTTCTTAAACGAGGCCTAAATATTGATACTTTATATAATACTTCGGCATACATACTGGATACACGAAACACATACTTAAATTTTTCCTTCTTAATTTTTGACGTACCTAAAAATACCTAATTATACCTAAACCGTACCATTCCTCAATTGAAAAAATATTTTATAAAATCAATTTCATTAGACTTCCTTATTATTTTTATTTTTATGTTTAATATAATTTTAAAATTAAATTATAATTTGTAAGTTATTTAATATAATGACCTTTTTTATAAATATTTAATATAATGACAATTAATTTTAATTTATACCTTTACTTTTGGTATTAAATGTAAATTGTAGGTCATTTAACTAATTTTTACATTACTTCAAACTAAAAATAAAAATTTTTTTATAGTAGTACCTAGCCATAGCCATACTATATTTTTTTTAGATTTTACCATACTCGTATCGTACCAATACCAGTACTCATACCCATATTCCACAGCTAGCTAGGAACCAAAAGGGTTCTAAAATACGCTTCAAAATATCTCTCTGTACCCAATTGTACAAAACGGTGTATTTAGAAACTCCCGAACCAAAACTATGACGGCTCAACTATTTAGTACTCCAAAATGATATATAGATTTTGTGATAACAATGTACAAAACATCAGGTTATTTACCACAAAAAATAAAATCCAAAGAAATTATCCATTTATAGTTTTCTCATCCTTAACTATGTTCATTGATTCCGATTCAGCCACCAGTCTCGCGTACTCGGACTGAATGTCACCTAGTTCTTTCCTAAGTTGTCGCACCTGCACCAAAATTGACAAAGTAATTGTAACTGAAATACAAGAAAACTATCAAAAGTTACATTTCTAAGCGTGCCAAAGCTAAAGGCAGTTTTGCTTCCTTAATTTGGTTGACAAAATTGAAGCTAGGGCTTGGACAGTGATCGTAGGCTTCTGTCAAACGATGACCTACACAAATTTTCTACAGCTGGCTGGATGTTTTAAAATGGACAACATGAAATGCCAAATTTGCAAATCATAATGGATTGAAAACAGTAATGTGAATTTCTTTGATTTGCAATACATCAAATGATTTACTGTATTATAATGTGAAGTACCTTTAGAGTAAGACATTCCTCGCTTCTCTCCAATTCCAATAACCTGAAAAACAAAAACGAACAGTTTTATCTACAAAATTTAAAATGTGGAAGAGTACATTAAGTCAGGTGTGGACCATATTAATTGTAGATATTTAGTTCAAGCAATAGTGATGGTAGGGGAGCAAGTCGGGGCTGGGCTCAGACAGTCAAGGGTATTTCAAAACTAAAGAATTGTAGTCCAAGCTGAGCTGGAACTTATCCTATAGCCAAAGTTCATCCACTCATGTGAATAACAAGATTGATGATCAAGACTGACTTGGGATGGTCAAAAAGAAGAATTTGATTAAGCAAGGACTTAAAGAGCATCTCTAACGGAGATGTTAAAATGTGTGTTAACTGACAAAGAGTGATAAAAGTGTGACTCAATTTTGTGTGTTAAATGTTCCTATATTTAGGTAGTGAATGGGTGCTGCAATGGAGGAACTAAAGTGCGTGTAAACAACAAAAGTAAAAAGGATATATTGTGTCAGGTCCTCTCTCTCTCTCTCTCTCTCTCTCTCTCTCTCTCTCTCTCTCTCAAGTATTTTAGGAGGCTCGCTGCAGAAAACAAACGGTTTAGTCTCTGACAGTGTTTGGAGCTGTACTAGCAACTGCATTGGAGAGAAGAAATTGCAATTTCTCGCTAACTTATTTAAGAGCTGGCACTAACAAAGTCATTAGTGTATCCATCGGATGCTTTAAGACCACTAGCCAAAAGTGAAGCTAGCTCAAACTATGCATAAGCAGGAAAGCCCAATGCCATTTTGGCTCATAGTGTATTAGTGTGAGACATACTATATAGTGAATCCTAAACTCTTGCTGGTGTTGACGTTGCAAGAGTAGAGGATCAAGTTCAGACAAATAGAAATTAGTAAATCTAGACGATCCAAATGGTCCAACCTGATCTACAGTAAGCTCCAAAAGTAATCATGCAAAATTACAACCTGTTCTGTACTTACTGTGTCTGGAGCTTTTCATTTTCTTGCATCAGGCTGGTAAACTCATCGTCCTGCAACTGATTTTCATACTCAGGGGTAGGCTACAATACAATACAAACAAGCAAGTATTAGAGAATCCAATACCTCTTTCAGTAGATACCACGAATAATAGAGAGATAAAGCGGTTGACAAGCATAGAATATGGACACAGAGTCACGTATAAATAACAAATAGAATACTTCACTTAGCAAAGAAAAAGGGAAAACAATCCACATAAACAAACATAAAACAACCAAACACAAATTCCCCACCACATCAGATAGTTCTCATAGAGTTTCTTCAGCTGTGTGTAGCAAATGTGTTCTTTTACTACTTGGGAAAATTTACTACTTCTGAAATATGGCATTCCAATGGAAGTTGTTAAAATGTATCTATTATTGATTGATTGTCTTGATGTAGTTTATTTTACAATTACAAGGATTCCTATTATATAGGAGTGTGTTTGGGAGTAGGTGGAGAGTAGGTGAAGTGGAGGTGGTAGTGGTGTAGTGGGTTAGGTTTAGTGGAGTAGGTGGAGAGTATGTGAAGTGGAGGTGGTAGTGGTGTAGTGGGTTAGGTTTAGTGGAGTAGGTGAGGTGGTAGTGGTGGTAGGTTTATGGTAAATTCTAACAGCCCCCCGCAAACTCAAGGGGGATAGGAACTAACCAACTTGAGTTTGGAGATAGTAACAAAACAAGAAAATACATAAAAATAAAAAAGGATAGGAGACACTGTATGGTCGTGTCAGACCATTGGTGAAGACACTGGATGGTGGTGTCATAACGTTGTAGAGGACACTGTATGGGGGTGTCATAACGTTGTAGAGGACACTGTATGGTCAAAATGACTAGAATACCCATGCAAAAAATGAGATGAAGAAGAAACGAAGAAGATGAGAGAAGACGAGGGTGATGAAACAGCGAAGAAGAAGGAGAAGAAGTCGTACCCGATGCCGTGGGTCGAAGTCGAAGACAAGGGTGATCTCTGGGTCGAAGTCGAAGTCGAAGACGAGGGTCGAAGTCGATCTCTGTGTCGAAGTCGAAGACGAGAGTGATGGTCGAAGTCGCCTCTTTGCTTCGATGAGATTAGGGCAAAAGTGATGAGATTAGGCCAAATTCGTATATACATTTTTTCTTTTTTTGTTTTAAATTTTTCTTAATATTGCTCCGATACCCCTCAATTTTTCAGAAAATTTGATTTCTGCCCCCGCCGTACCCAAAACATACCAAAGGCGTACCCATGCTGTACCCGAGCCATACCCATGCCGTACCCGACTGAGGCAGACGTACTCGACTACTTTTTGCCGTACCCGCTACACGTGCAGCCGCACCCGCACCCGCACCCCGTACCCGTACCCGTACCCGCACCCGGTGCGTGTACGGCACTATTTTTGGAGTACCCGTGCTTAATTGATTCATTTATAGTGTTCTTTCTTCTTGAAAATAATATATTTAGAAAATATCACTGTTTACTTGAATTTGAAAAAAAACATGTTCCTGTAATTAATCAGCTTGTGAAGTCTTAATCAACTATACAGACGCAACGATTATACCATAAAACCATACAGGAAACGGCTACAGCCAAGTGTGACAAATATGTAAAACAATTTATAAGATGCAAGTAGTGACAACTGTAATGGGCATTTGTAAACAAGCTAATACAAACCTCCATGTTCCCGCCATGAGACTTATACAATATAAACTCAGGAAATTTTAGATCATTGGCAATATTATGATGTTCGACAACTCGTCCCCGCAGAACTATTTTGAAGCTTTGAGGTGCCCGTAGGTACAAAATGGAAGAATATACCTGTGTATCTTGAAAAAGAACTTGATTTTAAAACCATGAAGGGAAGAAGAGACCACTCTATTAATCAACTTCATAATGTAAACTATAAATTTACACGGAGTGAATAATGGTAAAGGTTAGCAATATGCTGGTCAGAAACTTGATTTGGACGGCAACCAGTCTGAAGCAGCTTTGGGTCTGCAATAACACGAATATCCTGCAACATGGTATTACTTACAAGTAGGCTACATGATAAACATAACTTAAAAGATCCAACAGAAAGGAGTAAGAGCAAAAGGATGAAAGGTACCTCCGCATCCAAATCAAAATCTAGTTCCATATCCCCATTGTCATTTAACCAAAGATTGTATATAACAATCTTTGTTCCATGATTCCCTATATCATCAAACTGCCCACCGGGGTTAATAAGGATATCAAATTGCACAGATTGAAGCTCGAAATGGTGGGAGAGATATAACAGATATTGATACATCAAGAAACATGAGAATTTCTGGCAGTTCCCTAATGGAAGTAGTTTCACGTTTAAAATTTATATACATAACTAATAACATAAAAGTTCCATGTCTACAACAGGGAGAAAAATTAGTGTAGGAACAAAAAACAAACAAATAAATAAGTAAAACAGAAAAAACATACTTATTCTTATTTTGAGAGTTCATATAAATCTTAAATGTTCATTTGAAAATTTCATATAGTCTTATCACACACATAATTAATTCAAATTTTTGACTTGAGAACCAAACCCCATCGCATTCTATATTTTCCGTCACTAAGCAAGGAGGCTAACAGACTTAACAACATCTCAATTATCATCAGCAAAAGCAGCATGCAAATGAGAAACTTGAAAGGGTCGACACTAATATTAATCCTATTATCATTGTTACTGTAAAATTCTAGAGCCAAAGTGTTTTGAAGCTTACCTGCTTCAGCATTATTTCTTCTGTCAGATATGGAGACCACTGCAGTAGCACAGACAGATTAGATGAAAAATGTTCTTGTCCATAAGAAAGTATGGGTTCCAATTTTGTAGTTGATTCATTGAATCCATAATCCACCTGTAATAAGATTTCACAAAAATGCCTAACCATGAGAAGATAGGAAGTTGTAGGGTGACCCAAAGGAAAGCCAACAGTTAGTCAAGATAGATGGATCATGGACCATGTTTAAATAGACTCTTTGGATATCTGATGCAAGAATAAAGCGCGGGCCAGGAAAGCCCACTCATAATGTGAGGCAGAAAGCAAAGAATATATGAGTCTGTTTGTGGAATGTCGTCTAACTAATTTAATTTGGAAACAGGACCCAAAATTCTAACCAACCAAGATGAGACATCCAAACAGGTCATCAATGGCAGTACTCAATTTCAGTTTCTCAAACAGTCATTGATGGATTATCATGAGACTACTAACCCAGTTCCTTTTTTTCTCAATAGATGTTCGCACGCGCATTTATACAGTGACAACCAGAAAGCAACACATTGTTAAGTTGCTATCAGCCTATTATTTTTTATCTCCACAAGAGAACTACCCAAAAGGTGGTTTCAGGCATGTCTGCAAGCGTGCCAGATGTGTAACGGATGGATAAGGTAATTCATACACCCAATTTTCAATTCCAAGAATTAGCACAGATTTCTGCAATTATAGTCAGTTGGCAAAACATACATTGAAATAATCTTTAGGGGAAAGAAAAAGAAAAAGAAAGGGTACTTATAGTTAAATGTCCAACTCACCAGTGGTACTACTATTCTGTCATGACCTGTTTGTCTTAAAAATGTGTAAGAGAGGAGTCCAACGCTTTGAGTCAGTGTCCTGGTCATGAATACAATACCAATTTGAATGGAATTCCAAAGTCAACAAGACATAACCAAATAGCTTAAACAGAGATGACCAGAAACTTCTATATCGGGATTGATCAAAAGAGAAGTATTATCAACCTTAAGGAAGTTGAATACAAGAGCTATGGACCTATATAATAATCCTACTTTGATTACGTTATGGAACAAATACCAGTTCAAGAAATGAATCCAAATATCTACAATCAATGAATGATCACATTCTCATTATAGATTATTGTATCTCTTGTTCTCTTTTGGTATCTGAATAGATTATTATAAAATGAGTAATCTGACAAAAACAATTCAGACAGGTAAAAGAGTTATGTTCTTGTGCACAAACCTCTCTCTCAAGTGACAGGTAAACACAATAACATCTGCTCCAAGTCTCATAGAACTTGTCTTGAACCCATTTCCATCTGAAAGGCTAAAACCAACCAATTAGCACCAAAAGAAAGGAAAGCATGTTAAAGGTAAAGTTAACAATATAGTATCCATACATTGCCCAATGGCAAATTTCATTTTCTTATCTGAAAATCCAAAGCTCATACAACGCCTTATAGTTTCCGGATCTATTCCACCACCGTCGTCTTGTACAGAGCATGAAGAAATAGATAAACAAAAATTTAAAAACAAGAATTTTATCCTTGTTTATGAACAATAAACAAACTGGAAAGTTTCCAATATTATATTAACATCCAACTGTGATACTCGAGGAAGTTTCAAATGCATAATTACCTTGAATGAGCAAGGCTGGATTTCCATCCCGTGGATTTGTAGTCTTGTCTATAACAACGAAAGGAGCCCCGTTTTGAATCTATTCCACACAATGCACATCATTGAATAGTTATAAATCACCCTTGACCAGAATTGAATTGTGAACCATATGCTACAGCTTCTTTTCACATTAAAAAAGATAACATACTTGAGTTGTAATGTTCACATTAAAAAGAAAAAGGAAATGCAAATGAAAAGGGGAACCTAGCATTATGAAATGTATATCTTCAGAAGGAAAACATCTAAGAAAAGAGTGTAACCTGAAAAACTTTTAAAACTCTATGCTCTAAATAAAACATATACAGTATAGTTTTCCAGGTTGATTCATATAGCCCAATGGGTTATTTTGACTTTCTTCCAATCTAAACATTTCAATTCAAGACATAACAGAGCAGTTCGAGTAGGAATAGATAGGAATTTGCCTCATCAACAGCATTGTCAAGCAACTCTGCTATAGCTGCAAGCAAGAATCAACAAGAAATGGATTAAACATAATATTCATTAACAAAGAAATCAGCATTTTGTCAAAAAAAAAAATAAAACAAAACAAAACAAAGAAGAAATGTAAATGAAGCATACCACCAAATGCCCACTTATGTGAGGTGGCATTTGAGTGAAGGAACATGGGGTGCACACGTAAATGATTTTTCCCATCTGTAAACCAGATTCAGAAAGGTGCTCTCAGAAACAATTTGATCAATAGCAGAGCACAGAGACACAACTATATAGTTCTAATACAGCTTCTTTATTTACTTTATCATATTTTCTACTCCTATGTACCTAAAGTTTTTCCCATTGTCATTTCCACTAGATCATTTACTCACTCTTGCTAGTAAAGATTCCACAAGGAAATTGGGTTCATCTTGATACTTGATCTAACAATTGGAAGCCAAACTAGATAATAATCAACATGTTAACAACAATAATAGTAGTAATAATAATTAGTCAGATGATCACGTCACATAGTTAGACCATGTACACATTGACATCCTTCCCAATTCTCCTTTCTCTTTTGTCTGCATAAATAAATCAGGCAATTTTTAAATGTAATATTTGACAAAAAAAAAGTTATATCTTGTGTACGTTGATAACGTCAATTTATTTTTTTGATTTTTCACTAATCCAATTAAAAAGTTCTTAAAAGTTTATTTTCGATTTTTTTTTTAGTGAATAATAACTCACAGTTTTTATTACAAAGGAAAATCTTTATTTCATGGGAAACATTAATTTTGAATCATTTTTTCTCTTTGAAATTCACTAAATTGTGAGAATTATTGGATGATTAAAATTTATTTTGGCAACAAACTAATTATAATTGAATTTAATATTGAGAAATGCATGTAATTTTGATTGGGGCTTGTGAAAATAAGAGAGAGAGAGAGAATATTAACGAAATTGCCTTTTTTGTGTGATTTCACGTTAAAAAAAATTATATCTTGTGTTATTCTAACTCCATAAATACGCTGGTAACGTCAATTCATTTTCTGATTTCTTACTAATCCAATTAGAAAGTTCTTAAAAGTCCATCGCCGACTATGAAATGACTCACGTGTTTTTTTTGATGAATAATGACTCACGTTTTTATTACAAAGGAAAATCTTCATTTCATGGGAAACATTAATTTTGAATCATTTTTTTACTCTTTGAAATTCACTAAATTGTGAGAATTATTGAATGATTAAAATTTATTTTGGTAACAAACTAATTATAATTGAATTTAATATTGAGAAATGCATATAATTTTGATTGGGGCTTGTGAAAATAAGAGAGGGGGAGAGGGAGAGTATTAACGAAGTTGCCTTTTTTTTGTGATTTCACGCTAAAAAAAGTTATATCTTGTGTTATTCTAACTCCATAAATCGCTGGTAACGTCAATTCATTTTTTGATTTCTCACTAATCCAATTAGAAAGTTCTTAAAAGTCCATCGCCGACTATGAAATGACTCACGTGTTTTTTTGGGGTGAATAATGACTCACGTTTTTATTACAAAGGAAAATCTTCATTTCATGAGAAACATTAATTTTGAATCATTTTTTTACTCTATGAAATTCAATAAATTGTGAGAATTATTGAACGATTAAAATTTATTTTGGCAAAAAACTAATTATAATTGAATTTAATATTGAGAAATGCATGTAATTTTGATTGGGGCTTGTGAAAATGAGAGAGAGAGAGAGAGAGAGAGAGTATTAACGAAGTTGCCTTTTTTGTGTGAATTCACACTAAAAAAAGTTATATCTTGTGTTATTCTAACTCCATAAATACGCTGGTAACGTCTATTCATTTTTTGATTTCTCACTAATCCAATTAGAAAGTTCTTAAAAGTCCATCGCCGACTATGAAATGGCTCACGTGTTTTTTTTTGGTGAATAATGACTCACGTTTTTATTACAAAGGAAAATCTTCACTTCATGGGAAACATTAATTTTGAATCATTTTTTTACTCTTTAAAATTCACTAAATTGTGAGAATTATTGAATGATTAAAATTTATTTTGGCAACAAACTAATTATAATTGAATTTAATATATTTATACGAAATCTTCATAAGTTCTCATTTAAAGAAAGAAAAAAAAACCTTATGTCTATATAAACCAGGTTCAGGATTATGAGATTGCCTGACGGAAGAAATGAAGAGATTGTGTCTAGAGCGTTCGAAGGATGGGTCAATCATTCCCGCGCAGAGGCAGTTAAATCCATCGATCAGCAATATTTCAGAGCATATTTCAAGTGATATTGTTAAGAACTTATATCATTTAGTTCTGAAAGCATGTATTATTGATTCTATCAATAGTAGAACATCGATTTTGAAAATCCACAAAGAAATATTTGATATTCATCAGAGAAGAACAGAGATATTATTTACAGAGAATATTGATAACATTGATCATATTATCAAGTGTAAAGAGGATATTGAGAAATCATATACAGAGCATCTGAAGAAATTAGAAGAGATATCTATTTTGAGGGAGAAGCATAACATAATTCAAAAGAAGATTCGTTGCATGATCGTTGATAAACGTTGCAAAGATCTACATGAAGAGGCAACAACAGAACTGTGTATGTGTTCAGAGGCCTTTTATTAGCCATTGAAGATTTTGAAGAAATTTACAGAGATCTAGAGGAAGAAGACGAAAACTTTGTCAATGGCGCTCCGATATTATTGTTTATTATGTATCAGAGCGTGTTTATACACGTATATTGTGGGACCCACAAGAAAATTAATAAAATAATCCACGTCAGCCGTTCAGCGGTGGTTCTATACTTGGTCTTAAATACACTAGTAATGTAAATTTTTTTTCTAATTTCCCACTAATCGAATTGGAAAGTTCTTAAAGTCAATCTCCGGCTATGACATGACTCAAGTTTTTATTACAAAGTAAAAGCTTCATTTCATGTGAAGCACTAATTTTGAACCCTTTTTTTTTTGTCTCTTTGAAATCCACTAGATTGTGAGAATTCATAATGAGTATTGAATGATTGAAATTTATTTTGACAATAAACTCATTATAATTGAATTTAATATATTTTTAATTAGAATGAAAATGAAAAAAATAAATTATTTAAATTAAAATTATTAGATTTAATGTATAGATAAAAAGAGAGAGAATGAATTATGTATTGATTATTGATTGATGTATGTTATTGTGTCTTTTACAAGGAGATGTGCACTCTTTTTTTATAGAGAGGAAAAGATACATAGGGTGCCAATTAGCACCGAAAGCATAAAGAAAATGGGGAACACTCATTATGAAAGCTAGACATAATGATACACTAACAATTATGACTAACACTACTAGATGTACATAATATACTAAAGATACTAATCACTAATATACAATAATAAACTAACAAAAATAATATGGATTACAACGCCTTATAGTTTCCGGATCCATTCCACCACCGTCGTCTTGTCCGGAGCATGAAGAAATAGATAAACAAAAATTCAAAAACAATTTATGAACAATAAACAAACTGGAAAGTTTTCAATATTATATTAACATCCAACTGTGATACTCGAGGAAGTTTCAAATGCATAATTACCTTGAATGAGCAAGGCTGGATTTCCATCCCGTGGATTTGTAGTCTTGTCTATAACAACAAAAGTAGCCCCGTTTTGAATCTATTCCACACAATGCACATCATTGAATAGTTATAAATCACCCTTGACCAGAATTGAATTGTGAACCATATGCTACAGCTTCTTTTCACATTAAAAAAGATAACATACTTGAGTTGTAATGTTCACATTAAAAAGAAAAAGGAAATGCAAATGAAAAGGGGAACCTAGCATTATGAAATGTATATCTTCAGAAGGAAAACATCTAAGAAAAGAGTGTAACCTGAAAAACTTTTAATACTCTATGTTCTAAATAAAACATATACAGTATAGTTTTCCAGGTTGATTCATATAGCCCAATGGGTTATTTTGACTTTCTTCCAATCTAAACATTTCAGTGAAATTCACTGAGATAACTAGTGAAATTTTAATAAAACAAACTCAGAGAAATTTGTTTAATTTTCTCTACCTTTAATTAAGTAAAATTGGTGAAGTCATATGTATGTATTTATACTGTTTGTTTGTTTGTTTGGTACACTTAGTGAAATTTACTGAGACAACTCAATGAAATTTCAATAAAACAAACTCAGAGAAATTTGTTTAATTTTTTCTGTGATATTCAATTTTTTCTAAATTTCTCTAGTTTGAACTCAAAGAAATTTCAATTTTCTCTAGTTTGAACCCAGAGAAATTCTTTGGAAAGTCCCAAATTTCTCTGTAGAGAATTTCTCTGAAAGAATTTCTCTAGATTGATATTGAGGGATCTTAGACATTATGAAAATATTTAATGTCCTTTATGCTATAAAATCTTAATACCAGAGACCCTAGAAAAAAAACCCCAAAATTTAACTCATTAATTGAATTCATTTAATAATTATTTAAATAATAAAAAATATGTATACAAAATCAGATAAATATGTTATTTATATATTTAAAAAATATAAATATAAATAATAATTGATTATAGATAATACATTTATATAATAGTAGTGTTAGATATTATTATTTTAATAAAATATTTTTTCTTTTAGTATGATTATATATATAATTGTATAAATCAAAGTTTTAATTATAATTTTAGTCTTATATGTAAGTATAAATTTATAATTTTTTTGGCAAATTATAATTTTAGTCTTATATGTAAGTATAAATTTATAATTTTTTTGGCATGTTAAGACGCGTGAACAAATTCGAACTCGAGTCAAGTTTAAACCAACTTGACTCGAGTTCGATTCATTAAATTTTTATTAAGGTCCAATTCAATTTTAAATTTGTTTAAATATTTATAAATAAGCCTAAACATATTAAAGTTTGATTTGACTCATTTACAACTCTAGTGCTATGTATATAAAAAGAATCAAACAAATTATATGTATAAAAAGAATTAGACACAGAATGAATATAGATGTCTATAGATTTTGTATCCGATTCTTTCCGTGCAACATTTTGCATTAATTTAGATAAAACCAATTTTATTACTTTTTTTTTAGATATAATGGAAAGTACAAACACAGGGCTAAACTTTTTCCTAGAAATGGCTAAGACCATCTCCAATGGTAGTAGGTATTTTACCTATCTAAATATTACTATAAAATATATATTTTATTTTGCCTATTAACTGTTTTATGTTTTTACTCCAACCATGCTCTTTATTTTAGCTATTAATCCAAATACTATAAATTTTATAGAATGCCACGTCAACAACAAAGATGAAGAGAAATGATCCTAATGATTGAATACATTTTGCCTAGCGTTGAAGGCTAGCTACATGTAGCTAGTGAATATGAGTTGAGACAAAATGCCTAATCATATGCCTAGTGCGTTGGAATTGAAAAAAGTGAATCACACTGGGCATTTTAACTAACAAGTATGATATGCCTAGTGCATTGGAGATGCTCTAAGAAGTTCCGTATTTTAGCATTGAGATTATGATATCTTGAAAATTAATAAAAATATATAAAAAATATACTAATGAAAAAGTTGAATTGTATT